CTTCCCCCCTTCATCCGTAGTTAGCCGAACTACGTTGACTCTGACTTTCTCATTGCACAAGGGAATACGTAGGCCCAGAGTTGTGATGCTCTGCTGAGTCCTTTCTTTTTCTTGTGTCCCTTGACCTTTAGCGTAGATAGATGATCACCCTTTTAGATAGACAACAAGCGTGGATCTCGTCGAGTACGACGGACGTGAGGGGTGCTAATACATTCCCCTTGCGTAACCGACTCTCGAATCCAGGACTTGTTTGCGATGACCTCGTCTTTCCCTTTTTTCGTCAGGTTTTTCCAATTGTTTCCTTTCCCTCTCTTTGGAATAAATAACGAAAGGTGACGACTCTTCTATTTTCCGCGGGGTGTTTTTCGCAGTTGCGACATATAGTAGCGCTTTTTGCATAAAAAAAGCGTTGTCTTTACCTTTAACAGCGCCACTTTACGCAGCGCTTTTAAGCGCTGCTAAAGGTCTTTTTTGGCGAAATACTTTGTAAATATTGATTCGATTTCGTCCATCAGCTTAACAACCTTGTATATAATCATAGCAACATATTAGAATCACACAATATAACTCACTATACATATTATTAAGAAAATATTTTAAATAAATATCATATTATTATTATTTTGTCTTATTATACTTTTTCCCATTTTCCATAGCAACTTTGAATAACATATATTAAATAAAATATTTAAAAGACATATCTTATCAGAAGTAACGAAATGAAACCTTTCCACTGTGTCCAAATAACTTTCAGAAATCTTCTGGGCAGACATCTATTTAATCAATAATAATTTATAATTTATATTATAGAAAGTAATTATCAAATTACTTAAATAAAAGTTAGATTTTATTTATTAAAATATAGTATAGATCTAAGATATAAAATTATTCAATTGAAAATGCTATTAAAAAAAAAAAGCACAAGCACTCTATATAACCTTGAAATTTAAGTTTTCTATTACCAAATAATACTAGAGATGTGTTATTTTAACACTTACTTTTTAATACAGTGTGTGACACTATATACTTACAAAGCACTCAATTTTTAAAACATTTTTCATAAACTTAAATACATCAAAAATAAAGGAACACATGAAAATTAATTTGATACTATTAAAAGAATTTGTATTATACTTTTAAAATATTACTTTTAAAATAGATCAGAATTTAATAATCCAACAAAATGTGTACTTTAGTTATAATTTGAAAATTTGAAAATCCTAATAATATCCAAAAACATCATATGGGTATCTAAATTTTAAATATTCAAAATATTATTTTCCGACAAATTGGTACTGCTTAATATTTTCATTAAAAAAAAATACTCTGGTTGTATATACAAATAGAATGGTTTTGTGTACACCTAGTGATAAATGTGTCAAAAATATGTGTTTGACCATTTTTTCATTTACTTTTTATATTTATATATCAATTTCTCTTTACAAACCATTTTATCAATTAAAAAAACAAACAATATTATAATAAAAATAAATAAATCTCCTAAAATTTGGTTAGAGGAGATGACCACTAAAAATGACTAAGGCTTAAGCATTTTTGATTGGAATCAAAATGGAGTTTTTCTTCATGACCAAAATCATGATTAAAATTAGGGCTAGTTTGGTTTTCTATTTTGATTGTCTAATTCGAGTTAAAGAACTTTTTGATTTAAATTTTCAACTCACAATTTTTCTATAACCCTAGTTTTCATGTTCTAAACCCCCAAGTAAAGATAGTTAATAATCATTTGAATTATTAGGTTAATTATTATTTGGGTGATTAGCATAGTGTTAATCATAAACACTCTTAAGATAAGGTTTGATCAAATAATAATGTATGAGTAGGAATTGTTAAGATTAAGATTCACTTGTGATTCGAATATCACTAATAAGTTAAAATACATTATCAAATTTCTTCGGAATCTTTGAAAAAACATCTATATTCAGTGAGCCCTAAATAAGAGAAAAATATTATAATTTGATATAATTATGAAATAATTAAAAAAATGAGAATGAGACATAAAACCCAACGGGTGTAATTTTCAAAACCTTTGATGTGTTTGAGATTTCTTCAAAATTACTTTCAAGAGATTTCTTATATATTTGTTTTTAATATAATAAAAAAATAAAAGAATGAAAACCTGTAAATCTGGAGTAATTCTAGGTTTTTGTAGAACTCAACAAATGCGCTTCTAAGAATCTTCTGAGCACTCTGAATCACTTTCTTGTGAAGAAAATCATCTGTTGTATTATTCATTAAATCCTCCCAAAACAGATGTGTAATGGCAACAAATTCTGAAATTGAAAGTACAAAATTAATAGCAATTTAGAAATAGGAATAGTATAAACGTGGTGAATCTTCGAGTAATAATAAAAAAAAACATTTAATTTAAAATCTAACCCAATAAATTAGGATCTTGGGTTGAAATAGTAACTTTCTCATCATTATCTGTGAGTTGTTCCTGGCCATTAACAATTTGCTTTAAATCTAACAAGATCTCTACCAGTTTCTTGTATCTCCCCTTTCTAAAAAGTCACTCTCTTTTTTGATAAAAAAAAAGGTTTACTTTGTTTATCTAATCATCAAGCCTCACAAAATCCAGATACCTATGAACAGTTACTTGTGATAAACACACAAGTGAATTAAAACAAAAAAAATACAATATTATTTTACATGTATAATTGTTTATTTAATTCAAAAACTTATATTATCTTAAAAAAACAGTTGCACAAGTTCGGCTTGATAGATTTCTTCTTGACTGTCTCCCTATTGTTTTCATTCTCAGCTGCATCATATAGAAGTATATTTAGTTACAAAGATGATAAAAGATGACAGACATAACATCCTTTCAAACAAACTTTCTCAATTGACTATACCATAAACCTTGAAGGACTATAAGCCTAAATACTCTACAATCCTCTTTATTAATGAAAAGTATAAGCGGGTGTCCCTTCCATTTCATCAGAGGCACAAGGAGGCATGGTTACAGAAAAATGATTTTTTGTGATAAAAATTAGCAATAAAAGCGACAATTTGTTAATAAATAATAAATACCTTAATGATATTGTTAATGATATTGTTAGTAGGTGAGAGGTTTGAAGTGACTTTCTTCCTAAGAGCCGAAACAGAATTAAAAATGGAATTTCCATTGGAGTTCTTGTCATTTTTGTTTGACAGCTTCATTGTTCATTGTCTTTATCAGCTTCTTTAATTGTCGGTAATTCATGAACTCCTCTTTCCGCTCTGGTATCATTGGAGCGTTTAACTCCATTGCAAACTCCACCATTTTTACTCTCTTGTATCAGCTTCTTCGATTGTCGGTAATTCATGAACTTCACCTTCCACTCGTGTATCATTTGAGCGTTTAACTCCATTGCAAACTCCACCATTGCAAGTGAAATGAGAAGATACAAATTGAATAGAGAAACAGTATAAAGAGAAAAATAATGGAGATGTAGTTCAATATAAAGAAAAAGAATGATGGAGTCCGTAGAAATAAATGATTTCACTTCTGCTATCATATCTTTTCTCTCATTGATATATCATAGCAGAGGTGATTCCAAATCATTTATTTCTACAGACTCCATCATTCTTTTCTTTATATTGAACTATATCTCCATCATTCTTCTCTTTACACTGTTTCTCTATTCACTTCTTTACACTGTTTCTCTATTCACTTCTCTATTCACTCTGTATCTTCTCATCTCACTTGCAATGGTGAAATTTGCAATGGAGTTAGACGCTCAAATGATACACGAGTGGAAGGTGGAGTTCATGAATTACCGACAATCGAAGAAGCTGATAAATACAATGAAGCTATCAAACCAAAATTACAAGAACTCTAATAGAAATTCCATTTTCAATTCTGTTTCATCTCTTACGAAGAAAGTCACCTCAAACCTCTCACATACTAACAATATTATTATGTTTCATCTCTTACGAAGAAAGTCACCTCAAACCTCTCACATACTAACAATATTATTAAGGTACTTTTTATTAACAAATTTTAGCTTTTATGGTTTCTTTTTATCCAAAAAAATCCATTTTTTTGCAACCATACGTCCCGGTGCCTCTGACGGAAGGACACCCACTTATACTTTTTATTAATAAAGAGGATTGCAGATTATTTAGGCTTGGAGTCCGTATGGTATAGTCAATTGAGAAAGGTTGTTTGAAAGGATCATACGTCTGTCATCTTTGTGACTAAATATACTTTTATATGATGCAGTTGAAAAAGAAAACCATAGGAGACAGTGAAAAAGAAATCTCTTAAACCGAACTTGTGCAACTGTTTTCTCAAGATAATGTAAGTTTTTAAATTAAATCAATAATTATACATGTGAAATAATATTGTATTTTTTTTTGTTTAAATTCACTTGTGTGCTTATCACTGTTCATAGTTACTCAGGTTTTTTTGGTGAGGCTTGATGATGAGCTAAACAAAGTAAACTTTTTTTTTAAAAAATGAGTTTTTAAAAAGGGAAGATACATTGAAGAAACTGCTAAAGATCTGGTTAGATTTAAAGCAAATTATTAATGGCCAGGAACAACTCATAGATAATGCTGAGAAAGTTCCTACTTCAACCCAAGATCCTAATTTATTGGGTTAGATTTTAAATTAAATATTTTTTTTTCATTATTACTCAAAGATTCACAAAGTTTATATTATTCCTATTTCTAAAGATTTTCTTCACGAGAGTGATTCAGAGTGTTCAGAAGATTCTTAAAAGCACAACATTTGTTGAGTTTTACAAAAACTTAGAATTACTTAAGATCTATAGGTTTTCATTCTTTCGTTTTTTATTATATTAAAAACAAATATATAAGAAATCTCTTAAAATAAATTTTTAAACTAGTAATTTCGGAAAAATCTCAACCACATCAAACCTTTTGAAAATTACACCCTTTAGGTTTTAGGTCTCATTCTCATTTTTTTAGTTATTTCATAATTATATCAAATAAAAATATTTTTCTCTTATTTAGCCGCTCACTGCTAACTGAATATGGATGCTTTTTCAAAGATTCTGAAGAAATTTGATAAGGTAAGATTCAAATTTAGCACTTAAATTTGATATTTAATATTTTATAAAATGTTAATGTAGAATCAAGCATAATATAATATATATTGTTCTAAGTAAAAACTTTGAATATACTCTTATTTTCACTCAGTCCTAAGTATATGTTTATTTCAACCTAATACTTTCCATTTAGTCTTATGTATTTTAACTTATTAGTTATATTCGAATCACAAGTGTATCTTAACCTTAACACTTCCTACTCATACATTATTTGATCAAACTCTATCTTAAGATTGTTTATAATTAACACTATGCTAATCACTTAAAAAATAATTAACCTAATAACTCAAATGATTATAAACTATCTTTAATTGGGGTTTAGAACATGAAAACTAAGGTTATAGAAAAATTATGAGTTTAAGATTTAAATTAAAATGTTCTTTGAGTCGAATTAGACAATCAAAATTGAAAATCAAAACAGCCCTAATTTTAATCATGACTTTGTTCATGAAGAAAAACTTCATTTTATTCTTCATTTTGATTCCAATCAAGAATGCTTAAGCCTTAATATTGTTTGTTTTTTAATTGAAAAATTTATTTATTTTTATTATAATATTGTTTGTCTTTTAATTGATAAAATGGTTTGTAAAGAGAAATTGATATATAAATATAAAAAATAAATGAAACAATGGTCAAACACCTATTTTTGACACATTTATCACTAGGTGTACACAAAACCATTTACTTGGACACACAACCAGAGTATCTTTTTTAATAAAAATATTAAGTAGCACCGGTTTATCGAAAAATAATATTTTAAATATTTAAAATTTAGATACCCATAGGCTGTTTTTGGATATTATTTACTATTTATTTAAAGCTAGAATTTTCAATTTTTTAATTTTTCAAATTATAATTAAAATACACTGTTGAATTATTAAATCTTAATCTAACTATCACTAATACTTTAAAAGTATAAATACAAATTCTTTTACTTTAAAAAGTATAAATACAAATTCTTTTACTTTAAAAAGTATAAATACAAATTCTTTTAATAGAATCAAATTAATTTTCATGTGTTCCTTTATTTTTGATGTATTTAAGTTTATTAAAAATATTTTAAAAATTGAGTGCTTTGTAAGTATATAGTGTCACACACTGTATTAATAAGTAATTGTTAAAATGACATATCTCTGATATTATTTGGTCATAAAAAACTTAATTTCAAGGTTATAGAGAGTGCTTGTGCTTTTTTAATAGCATGCCCATTATAATAATTTTATATATTAGATCTATACTATATTTAAATAAATAAAATCTAACTTTTATTTAAATAATTTAATAATAACTTTCTATAATATAAATAATAAATTATTATTGGTCAAATAAGTGTCCGCCTAAAAAATTTCTAAAAGTTAGTTGGAGTAGAAAAATCTCGTTTAATTACTATGTCTTTTAAATATTCTATTTAATACATGTTTTCCAAAGTTGCGGAAAAAGGGAAAAGTATAATAAGACAAAAAATTATAATATCATATTTATTTTAAATATTTTCTTAATAATATGCATAGTGAGTTATATTGTGTGATTCTAATATGTTACTATGATTATATACAAGATTGTTAAGTTGATGGACAAAATCAAATCAATAATTACAAAGCATTTCGTCAAAAAAAAATTTTAGTAGCGATTTTTTTGATCTTTAGCCGCGGTTAAAATTATTAGAATGAAATTGAACTTCAACTATTAGATTAAAATGTATAATTTAAAATAAATTATCAACTAAAACATATATGTTTTCTCTCTATCTTCATTGTCTTTCTAAATTCTACCTTCATTAAATCATAATTCTACAATATAATGTCTTTTGCCAAAATGCTAACACTCAGCTTCACACCCAACCTCTATTTAAAAACAGGTTTTATTTTATTGCATAAATCTTGATTTTTATGTATTTGTGTGTAGATAAATTTTAACAATTTTAATTTTCTTTTATTAAGCTCATAGTGTCAATGAAAATTGGCAAGGTTAGATCCACACAGTTAGCATACTATTAAGTGACTTAATTCTTTCCAAAAGCAAAATATGTATTGAGACGAGTCTTTTCTTTCCTATAAAACCAGCTTAGCTTATAAGTTGATAGGTGTACATTTATATAAACTTTTTTTTGTTTTTTGTAGATTTTATGTTTAACTGTTGTGAGACTTGATAGTTTTTTCAAATACAAAGTGATCAAGAAGGACTCTACGACGGCAAAAAAATCTAAGGTTAAGGCATTCATGGATCTGAAGGATGTTGTTGTTCCTGTTGTTATTCAATCAAAGGATAAGAAGGTGACTGCACTCAGAGACTAAGAAGCAGTTTGAAGAGGTTTAGTTTTGATTATGTAAGTGATTTTGTTTTTCTGGGTTATGAGTAGATTTTGTAGTATTTTGATGGAAACAAAAATGAAGTGGTTATATTCATCTTTAATAAAAAATAATGACAAATCGATATTATGTTTAATCTACATTTCATTTCTTAGAAACTTATACTATTCTAATAATGTTAAATAAAAAAATTATTTTTTTAACTTCCCCGTTAAAAGAAATATATAAATCTGCCAAAACAATTATCAATTTAATATGGTATACAGAAAAGAGGTTGAATAAACTTTAAAGTTATTTTTTTTGTTTAGCATTATCAGTTTAATATGATATAAAAAAAAACGAGTTGAATAAATTGTAAAGGTCGATGATGAACATAAATTGAATAAATTGAATAAACGAGTTGAATAAATTGAATAAATTGTTACCTCTTAGAGCAATGTCATGATGAACATAAACAATAAACAAGAAGCAAGACTGATCAAACCAAACTCAAGCATAACCAGTTTCTTTCACGTGGGCACTCATTCACCATCAAGCTCCTCCTTCGACATTGCCACCGTCTGCTCTTCAATCTCGCCAGAGATGAAAGGTCGATGGAGTTAGGTAACCGATGGAGATTTTCTTTATTTATTTCTCATAGAGTTTGAGTGGGATCAGCGAAATAGAGAGAAGAGTTGAATTCTGTTTAATTTGTTTCACCTAACTTTTTGAATATCATAAGTATCCTACTTTTTCAATAAAAATAATAAAATAATGACATGATATTAACCAATTAACTTTTTGAATATCATAAGTATCCTATTTTTTCAATAAAAATAATAAAATAATGACATGATATTAACCAATTAACTTTTTGAATATCATAAGTATCCTACTTTTTCAATAAAAATAATAAAATAATGACATGATATTAACCAATGAACTAAAGTGTAAAGAAATTGGTATCTTTTGTTCATTCAATCTTCTAGTCTTTTATTTTATTTTGTTTTGTTTTTATGTATGATTTAAAAATATATACATTTTAAAAGATAAAATATTATAAATAAAAATAATTTCAAAACAATCTTTAGATTTATTTTTTTCATGAAATAATGAAATTATATTTTAGTCATCAAATGTTTAATGTTTGATAATAAATTTCGTTTACCTAATTTTTTATTAGGTTACATTATCATTATGTGTTGAAGAAAACTTGAAAGGAAACTTCATAGTAATCACATGCATTTTAAAGAAATATTTTAAAAGTTATGGATTACCGTATAGGAAAAAATGAAATTATATGATGTCTAATTTTTTGATCTCTGGGTTCATGTCAATTATTATTGCTTAATATAGTACCGCAAAGAGATCTGCTTTATTTTTGGACTGAAACACAAGAAAGTGATACACTTGTTTTAATGTTGAAAACAACAACTCGTAAGAAAATATAGTCGTTGTTCATTATGGAGGACAACTTTTAATGTGTTATTAATCCTATATCACTCAAACACAATATGTGATGCGTTCAAGGCCATGAAAGAATGAGTATATGCCTGAATTAAGGTGTAAATAACAGTATGTCAAGCAAGAAATAAAATGAAGAAAATATTAAAATACATAGAAGCCAATGGCTGATTTCAAGGAAGAGAAGAGAATATGTTGAGAAGTATTGATGATGGCAATACACCTATAGAGTTTTTACTCAAGACCAAGATAGGGAGAAATTCGAAGTAAAAAAGACTTACAAGGACAACATCGCGAGAGTGTTTAATCCGAAGTTACCTTGCCGCTCTGCATCAGGTAAAGGCCAATGCCTGCAGAATTGTAAACAAAAGTAATAATCTCATTAACAGCACATCTTTTCGGTAACTGATATCGCATAAGAACAAGTTTCAACAAAAAATAACTTGAGTAAAGAAGTCTAGAGCAACACAGTCATTGATAATTCACCTTCATGAAGTATCAAAATGTTGCTTCACCCAAATGCAAAATCCTCACCCCGAATTTACAAGTTGCACCTGAAAAATCAAGGAAGTCAGAAACTAGTGATGCAGGAAGAATATAGAAGGATATGATGCTGAGGACTCCTGAGAGCCTTACCAAATACGGACATTAATCGACTCGCATTCCTGAGTTATTTCTATAGGCGATCAAAGGATGAGGTTGGATCGAAAACTTGAATTGGTTGGCCATTCTTAGAGAAGAAAATCTGGATATGCACTTGAGAAGTAACTGGTGGATCTTACCAAGATATTTTCGATGTAAAGCCAGGAACGATCATGCCTAATCTCACCTGCACTCTGTAATTCAAGCATTTTGTTCCCAATACTCCAAGGATGATACCTGTAATGAAAATCACAAAATGTCTTGTTAATTCTCAAACTTCTCAGAGTATGAACAACAACAATTAAGTTCAAACACTCAATCCATTTCAACAGCAAGAATACGCATCAGTGATAGTAATATGATTCATAGCAGAATGAACAAAACAACATATTATTCATGAGAAAGAAGAACAGGGGTCACAATGCTACTCAAATATTTCAGAGTCCGAGAAAGTTTTGACCAACGCATCAGCAGTAAGTTAAAAAGCAGTAAAAGGAGCAAAATCCCAACTTCACGCAGTAAAGGTTATTAGGAAGATCCTAAAGTCCCACATTGGTTGGAGATAGAGCATTGAAATAGTTTATATAGAGCAGCGCTCCTCACCTTACCAACCGGTTTTGTAAGGTTGTGTTAGACCAAACTCTAATATGGTACCAGAGCCTATCAATCGGACCTTGGGCAGCCCACCGTTTAAATCCACGCACCAAGCCAAAAAAAAAAGAGTGATGGGTGTGAGGGGGTGTATTAGGAAGATCCTAAAGTCCCACATTGGTTGGAGATAGAGCATTGAAATAGTTTATATAGAGCGACGCTCCTCACCTTACCAACCGGTTTTGTAAGGTTGTGTTAGGCCAAACTCTAATAAAGGTCAGCACACAATCTCTGTAAAGATTTCTCTCTAACGGTATTGAAATTACAGCTCATAATCACACGCGAGAAGAAGAAGATTTCCTCATTCTCTCTCCCAATTCGCAAGTACCAAAATTTCACAAAATTCTCCTATAAATGGAACCAATCATTGGCTCAAAAAAGGAGGAGAAGAACCTTAACGTTACCCTGCCAAAATCACTCCTCATAGCCTCACCCAAAGCTTACGACCTAGGGTTCATTGAGACTCATTTGAATCGAGCTATTTAGCCTTCAGCCACACTAATTTCGTAACAGAAAAGTCGTAGCCGGGCGAAGAAGGAGTGGAACCGGCGGTGAAGACGAAAAGAGTCATACCTGAAGAACCCGTTAGAAGTCATTTCCGTTCTCCGATTTGGTACGTCCTCTTTCTATTCTCTTTATCTCTTATGGAATGTTGATGATGTTGTTTGAAGTACTTATTTCACATAAATCGTTTGAAACACATAATATTGTTTTGAAGAAGTGTTAGATTTGTTGTTAGGATTCGTCGGTTAAGGATTGAGTTAGGGGTTAGGGATTTGTGAATTGATTTGGGTTTAAGTTTCAAAAAGGGAAGGTGATTGTGAATCAAAAGAGAGAAGTAGCGATTCAGGGGATTCAAGGTTTTGTTGAGTGAGAGAGAGAATAGAAGTAGGTAGGCGGATAGAAAATGGTGAGAGGGAGAAAGATTGATACATTGAATTGGATAGACAGAGGTTTTGGAAAATGGGTCTTGGGCATATCAATGTTAATTAATTTTTGTTTTATTATTCTTTTCATTAATTGATTCACTGCATCCGATATTGCCTAGGGCTGGAAATGAGTCGAGTCGAGTCGAACTCACCTCAGTTCGGCTCGACTCATTAAAATTGGTTCGAGTTCGAGTTCGAGTTCAACACGAACTATTTTTTAAGCTCAAACTCAATTCGTTATAAGTTCACGAACAGTTCGGTTCGACTCGTTAGGTTCATCTCATTAGGTTCAGCTCACATGATTCACGGATTTAAAAACTATTTTTTTAAATATATATATTTTTTAGTATATTTGACATTTTAAATAAATATATTTTTTAAAAATAAAAGTTATCATATTGAAATTTAACTTTATCATCGAAATCTACTAATTCAAAAACTACTAAATTGAAGATTAAATTTGTCTAAGATTTGGAGTAAATATTTAAACCTAATCGTAAAGACAGTATAATTCTTCTCAAATGTAATCGAGTTGACTCATGAACCTAACGAGTCGAACTATGTATAGTTCAAGTTCAGCTCATTTAGTTAACGAACTTAATTTTTCGCTCATATTCAACTCATTTGGTTCATGAACCAAGTTCAACGATTTAATTGTCGAGTCGAATTTCGAACTATTTTCGAGTTGGTTTGGTTCATTGTCAGCCCTAGATATTGGGAATGGATCAAGGCAACTTGGATTGCCTTTATCTTTTGACTTTTTATATGCCTTTGTCTTTAGTGCTAAGGTTGTCCGCTTTCCCTACGAGCACGTGGGGAGTATGGGGTATTTGCCCTTTGGTATCTTGGCTAGTCTTAAACACTTTGGGCCTCCAAAAATGGACACCCCTTGGGCCTTATGGGGGCCCTTGGGGTTTGACTTGTTTGCCCACCTCTATTTCCTACACCCTCAGTTTGTCTTGGTTTAATTAATTTTATATTAGGAATTGATTAAGTTAGTAATTGTTATTATCTTTGTTTCAATCCATGTTGTTAGGGCATGATATTAGTAGATAGTTGCTTTTAAAAAATGATTTCTAAATCAAATTAATAGAGAATCACTTATCCGTTTGAATAATCTTAATTAATTATTTAATATAGTTAATCCTAAAAATGCTATCTTTATATTTAAAATCATAATCTTTTTTAAATTAAACCATTTTTCTCATTAAATTTATATGAAAGAGGTGTATCCTTGGAGTCTAGCACTCTTTGGGTCCTTAAGCGACCGCTCTCGAGGTGCACACCTCGAGTTGTGGTCGTTTCGTCTTTCATCGTTAA